AAATTCCTACAAACATAAAATTCACAAATAAACTATCATTTAATTAAAATATCACTAAACCATGTACACGTCGACTTATTTTTTTACTTAAAAAAACAATCCCAGAATGCACAAAAATGGCATTGCGCACACTCTTCACTATATCCATGTACAACTGCTTTTTTCTCTAAATTAGAAAAATTTCACGAAAATACATGACAATTTTCTCAATCTTTAAACCGGTAAAAAGAACATATATGAAATTACCTGATCGCGAAAAAGTATTTACCCTTTACAAATATGAACATTTCCACATATAAAATAAATAAAATATATTCAAAAACTTTTACCTCTAAATCATCTATTATATTATAAACGTCACCAACGAATTCATACTGCAAAACCATTACAAATACTTAGTGTCAGATATTTAAATTATTTCCATGCACGTTTACTTCAACTAAAACGTATACCAAATTCCTACAAAACATAAAATTCACAAAATAACTATAATCATAAAATATAATTAAATTCAAAAACACTACTTAAAATATAAATGAGCACATACATTAATTAATAAAATTACCTTACAATCCTAATTACTTTAAACTAAATCATTGCTAATAACAATTTCCCAATAATACCAAATTCCTTTCCACCTTACATTTAGAACAATGCATAAAAATAATATCCTCAAATAATTAAAAAAATACTAACTTACCTAATCTTCTTCAGAATCTTGATTACGTGGCGGATACACTTTTCTAATTCATTCAATAAAATTATTGAAAGATTTTTTTTCTTTTTTTCTGTGAATTTTTTCTCCATACTTCCTCCGCTAAATAAAAAGCAAACTTCTCTTTATCACAATGCCTAATACCCATTTTGAATTCACTTTAATTAGGCCATGGGATCCAAAAATTAAACAACACTGTTTCACACAACACAGAATAAAGCTAAATACAAATTTCCACATTTTTTCCCGATTTCCCCTTCCCCCCTTTTCCGATAAGAACTGTAATTCGTCCATTAATATCACAGACCATATCCCATGATCTCTCATTTCCCTCACGCAAAATAATGCGTAATCGGAACTGAGTACTGCTCACATTATTACCAAAGTCCCAGGTAGTAACCTTTATCGCCTCCAAAATGTCGCCAAACTACCAGTTACCATATTGTAAAGATCAACCAAAAACAATATAAACGCATATACTTTTAAAAACAAATAAAATTCTCAGTCAGATCATTCAGTCTATTCTGGGTTTCCAATTTTCTGTCTTTTTGTCAAGAAGGCATTATGATAGATTGGCTTAATGGCATATTGCGTTCAATTTCGTCGTCATCCATATAGACACAGTCGTTTCCCATTTCCTCTATAATGTTATTTCTAGAACGGGTAATTCTAGTTGCAGAGCTTGACGTAGTTTGCAGTTGCCGATGACAGTATTTTTTCTTTATTCTTAAGAATTGCCTTATTGTTGAAGTTGCCAAAATCAATGCAGCACTAATTTGAGATTGACGTTCAGCAGAATCTAATCCTTCTAATCACTTGCATTTGAGTTTCCAGTGAAATGCTTTTTCTGGTTGCTTTCTTTTCTTTCTTGTTTTTTATTATCACCCATGATAAAAACTGAAGATCATAATATTTGTCACTGTATTAATCGTTATAGTATTATACAAATTTAAACTTACAATAATGTCAACAAATGTTTCAAATGATAAAAATGCGTCCACAAAGCAAGAAACACAACTACACTGTTTCGCATATGTTATTTGGAAACCTAGCGCTGCGCACAATTTCGGAGAATCCCCGGGTTGAAATAAAAGAGCGCTAAACCAAAACAGCGCTAAACGAAACAGCGTTAAGCGGGGTCTTACTGTACACATCGACCTATTTTTACTTAAAAAAATATCAGAGAATTACACAAATTTGGCATTGCACACTCCCTTGTCCATGTACACATCGATATATTTTCACTTAAAAAGTCAAAGGAGCACCCAATTCTACAGTAGATGCAAACAAAAAATACATAATCTCAGTAAACTGCATTTAAAAAACAAACAATAAAATAACATAAAAAAGGAAAAACTTCTTAATGCATCTAAGCACTTCACAAAGCAAATATCCACTTATCTTACTTAGAAATTTCTTAGTCCTTAGTCTGTGGCACACAAAATTCCTTAACAGAATCCAAAAACTTCTTAAAATTATCTGAACTCAAATCCGTATATCAGCGTCGTCACATAAATTCACAAAAATAAGAGTAAAAAATATCCTCCGTAGTTCCAGACTGTCGATGTTCCGGATTGTCCGGAAAATGGCTGCTAAGTAAACCTTCATTTACACATCAGTCAATTAATGCTCTTTTTCCCTTTTGTTTCCAAATCGTACAGAAACTTCAAATTAATCTTACTACATTCAACCATTCTACCATCTAAGCAACAATAACCAACACATACCACAAACCTTTACAAAACATTCCATAATTCAAAATTTACTGTAATCATACAACGTGTAACATCATAAATAGGGTTTCCATAATATTCAACTACTCAGGTTACCACATAAATGAAACAACCACTTGGCGATAAATGAAACAACAACTTTGCGATAATACAAAGGGTACTCTTCAGTCTACTTTAACCTATAGTTGATATTTTTATAAATATTTATGCTATTTATTATAGTTAATAGTTATAGTAACAGTGATGTTATAGTGTAGTTTAGCTTGGCAGAATGCACTTGCTTCAGAGAGCATCATGTATCTCAGTTTTTGAATAATTATAATTATTCATTAGGCTTATAGCCTGCATGGATTTTATATCCAGGAAGATCCAGAAATTTTTGTTTTTAATTTTTTTGGAGGTTCCATGTGTTTACAATTAAATTGTTTTTACTATGAAGACAATGGAGTCCATTCTAATCAATATATTTGTTTGAAACTTGATATAAGAGCTCTTCAGACTGTGGTAAAGGAAATGCGAAAATAAGTTCAGAAATCAACCATTAGCTGGAGATGTGTAACTTCCAAACAATGAATGTAAGCTGGAAAGAAAAACTTCATTTCAGTTATGATTGTGTTCAGCATGCATTTCTTATGCATGAATGGCAAGTTAGAAGCATCATACTGCGTAGTCAGTGTTCACTCAAAGAGAATTTTGGCAGCAGTATTTAGGAGCAGCAAAAATTTTAGCATGTGGAGTATGTAGAGAAGCACTGACAGCAAAATTTAGGGATGGAAGGATTTTTAGAATTTAGGAGAGACACTAAGCAGCAAAATTTAGGGGTAGCAAAATTTGTAGAATTTAGGGACGCAGTAAAATTTAGTACATACAGAGGTTACATCGGGTAGTAAAATGGCTAATACTGGCTCTGATTCCTACTGAATATTAGTAATATGCCATATTATGTAGGCTGGCAGTTCAGCACTTTCACGATAAACACTAGAGCCTGATGTTCAAAGAACAGGATGGTTGAACATCTAGAAATTTATTAGTTTAGATTTGAAAAGTGGATTCTTTTATTTAGCCTGGTTCTGAAATTAACTGCAATGATGATATTATTACTAAAATACAGAGAAAATCTTATTTGCTACTTAGTATATCTGTGATCTCTTAGATGTCTCTCTGTGTCTTCCTAAGATGCAATATATGCCCTTATTTTATTCAAAAGCAAATTTTTCAGTTTGCTTAAAATTTTTTACTGAAAAATATGTTCTGGTGATAAAAATTTTAATTATCGAAGGTTTCTTGCAATTTTCCAGTTATTTTTTGTGCATGTCAAATTTTTTTAGCTTAGAGGTGTCTAATGGCTGAAACTTAAGAATCAAATAGCAATTAGATGAAGTTTTCATACCTTTTATGATGTGTATTGCAATGATTGTATAAATCAGGTTATGTAAAAATGGAGAGTTCTAGAAAAAGAAAGGATTTAAAAGAACCAAGAAGTGTCAGAATAGATAAATGATATTATAGAAAATTAATCAATGAAATGAATAAATTTTTATACCTTTTTGGCATCTATAAACATGGAAACAGAATATGTGGAAAATTTTTTTAAAAAATGTTATTATTATTTGGTATTAAGGACTTAATTTTCACATTGTGAAATGGAAAATTGCATATCTATGTTTACCTTATAATTTTATAGTATGTACCTTCCATAGCAGTAAATGTAACAAATGCAAACCAATTTAAACTTAAATTAAAATTAAATAAAATTATACCTTAGGCTCCAAATAATATAGGAAGAGAAGTAGATTGTATTTTAGGAATGGTGTTACATGCAGTGTCTGCCAGGGCAGTTTGCATGCAGTTTCTGCCAGAAGTAGCATCCTTTTTTTCTAAATAGTGAATTTTGTTAGGTGGGTAACATTTTGAACATTTTATGTAAAATATAATTTGCCATGCATATAAATATGATTACTATATTATAAATATGATTTACTGTAAGAAATATGTAACTGTGATCCTGTAATTAAAGTTTTCATGTAGATTATCAGCTCATGCCGGAAAAAAAAAAAAAAAAAAAAAAAAAAAGGTGCTACATTTGCCAGTTCTATACTGAGGAAAAGTATTGTCAAAAATTGCGATTTCGTGTTTGAAAAGCATAGAGCTTTCTGAAATTAAGGCCATTCTAAGGTTGGATTTTGATTAATTTTAAATTCCATAGCACTATTAAAAATGAATGAAGCATTATGTGTAGTGTTACAACAGTGAAAATAAGTTCTTTCAGTGATTGATTCTTGCATGTTATGGTAAACTCCTGAAAAATAGATGAGCAATAAAAGAATTACTGTGAAATAAAAAATGGCAAACTTTCTCTTTTAATTTAACTTTTATCTTTTCTCTTGAATTTTGCACTTTAACTATTTTAGTATTCAAAATAATGATGATCAGTAATTTTTTATATTGGTTTAACGGGTAAGAGCTAAGGACATAAGGGAATTTTTAACTCATTTACATGAATTTCCTTTATGTGCATTATAAATTCTTATTTGCTGCTATTTGTCAAATAGGATAGTCAGTATGCATCAGAGCATTCGTACAGGGACCATAACATCTTGGACAAAGCAGTTAATTATCGTGATGTTATTGAAGAACACAAATCTTTCAGTATCACCCAAGCTATGCTACGACGTTTTGATCATGAAGTTCTTGGATATGTGACACCAGTAAGTATTAGATTTTTTTCATAAAACTTTATTTTATTTACAAGCTTTATTACTTATAGAAGAAAAAGACATTTTGCCTACTGATTCAACATTGTGCAAAAAATCATGAAAAAGAATTTTTTGGGAGGGAGGGGACAGAAGGCATTTAGATATTTAGTTACAATGAAATATTTTTGCTTGTCATAGCAAAAAAAAAAAAAAAAAAAAAAAAAAAAGATTCATAAAGAAACATGGATTAAATCATGCATGGAGACCAAGTTTTTTTAATATCTCAGATTTATTTGTGGTTAGAATGAATTCTAAATGATTTTAAACATTACTGCTTCCTAGCTGAAGTTAAATAAAACTACAGCTTTTTTTTTTTTTTTTTTAAATGTTTGTGTGTATTACAAATGCTACTTTGACATTTAAATTAAATGCTTTTGGTTTTTATAACCGGAAATCGCTATTTGTGTAATTTATGGTGTATTTTTTGGTTCAAGTGTTTTTTTATTTTGTATTTTAAATAAAATGAGCGAAAGTTGTTTTTATTTTATTTTTTTGAATGTGTTTGGATTTTTCTCAATGATGTAAGCATTTTAGTTCTTTAATTTGGAATGGCTTAGTGCAGCATTATAATAAGGGCAAAAAAAATCTGCTGTTGGTGGTATTTGTGCTCGACTAAGTGAAAAGTACCAATTTTTTCATTAATCAAAGTTCAAAAGCAGAACTGTTAGTCCAGATTATTTTGTGGATTTTTTATTTGTGTCTTGCAAGAATGGAGATCAGGTTTTTATTTAAACAAAAAGTTACAATTTATGTTGTTTTATAAATGCAATTTTTAGAAATACTTATTCTGTTTTAAATGCATTTTTATTAGTACAAGTTATTCAGGTTATCTTTTAATTTAAAAATATTTATCAGTGTATATTTACGTAAAAGTGTGTTTAAAGAAAGCAATATAAAATCAAATAGAGAAATATTCTTTGAAAATATATATCTGAAATGCCGTAGGTGAATTATTTAAAATATAAAGTATGGAGCATTTTATTTATTTATTTATTTTTTTTCATTTAAAAATTCTGTAAGGGAATGCAAGAAAATTTTGCATTATTATTGCAAATGTCATTTTTGTATTCCTGAAAATCTGAAGTATTACTTTAAAAAGTGGAGTACTGCTATATGCTGTCAACTTTATGTTTCATAGCATTTATAAAAATGATACAGTACCATATCCAAATGTCCAATAACTGGAATGATATATTATCTGGACCTCCATAAAAGTTTTTTTTTTTTTTTTAATTAATTTTCTTTTTCTCACGTATTATAGGAATGGAGAATATGATACTGAAAAGCAAGTGTGCTGTAAGTTGCTTTTTGGCCCATTTAGCAAAACTATTTATTTTGCCTAATAAACATCATTACCCATGATAATGTCGATGATCCTGCATGTTGTTTAACCTGTTGGCTATCGAACCCTATTTTCACTTTCAATAATTTAGTGGTTGTGTATATGAATAAGAAGGATGATTCAGCATTTTTCATTATTCTTCCTATACACAATAAGTGAAATCTGAAAAATAGTTTCTTAGGAGTGCAATGTTATGAATACAGACTTTCATTTACTGGTATAGCATCCAAAACTTTCCTCAAACCTTGTTTCCTTTCTAATGGAATGTTTATATGGGGAGCATTTAAACTTTTCTTGCAACAAACCCATTCAAAATCCATCTGAACGATCTTTATGTTCGACCATGCGCATTTCCTTTGTACAAACAGGACATTTATAATTCCATTGAATTACATCCAACAAAGATTTTTTTATTCTGTCCTCAACTCGCAACCACTGTCGAACTTGTATAATACACCCTTCTTCCCTAGGAAATCTTTCTTTGTCCTTGCTTGACTAAGGATTTTAGCAACTGGAGTTGCTCATCACTTCTTTGCCCAGCTGCAATTTTGGCTGTAACTTCTCCCTGAGAATAGGTAACCATCATGACAGCAATTTGGCTTAACGAATCCACGTGCTTCATTTGCTGCCCAGATCTGTGAACAATTTCATAGTCAAATTCTTCTAGAAGTAATGCCCATCTCGCCACTTTAGGGGTTAAATCTTTCTTGAAAATAGTCTTCTGCGATTATTTTCTGATATTATTTAATACACTCATGATGATTATATTAAATTGGTACAGTCAAAAGTCTTTAATCCAGACTCGTCAGGACTTCGGTGATTCCGGATTATCGGTTTTTCCGGATTATAGATTATCAATTTAAATCTGGTAAGATGACATGCAGAAATTATAAAATTAAAAATATTAAACTGTAATTTATGAAATAAAGAGCAATTATGATCTAAAAGGGTATCAAAATTTACAAAAAAAAAGCTTAATATTTATTTGTTTACTTTATTAAACATTTCTTTCAACGCGCGCATGCGTGAAGCATACATTACGCATAGTCGAAATTAGAAAATTGCAATCAGAAAACTATTTGATGTGTATTCATGATATTTATAATGACGAGGAATTTGATTTAAATCATATCAAAGACGAAGTACATCGAGATGAAATACTACATTTAGTAAGGAATTATAAGCTGAATAAAAAAAAACATCTGCCCTGAAGATAAGGATAGTGCTGACAGATCAACTTCCAGTTCATTGCGTGTCGCATCATCCCCCCTTCCCGGCAGAGCAGCATGATATTGAACATATTTCGGAATGGTTAGAGAATCAAAGGATATGCCTTTATCCATTTTTTGCAGCAATTAGCAATTCCACTTTTTGTTTGATGGACATGGAAACATGCTTTCGCTTTGTAGATCCTTTGGTAGCTCCAGAATCGGAAATTCTTTTTGACATAATCGAAAGTTCAAGCTTACTTTATAAAATTGCTCTAACAGTCTGCAAAAAATAATAAGCCGGATTCAATTAGAAGATTAAGGAAGAATGCAATCTGCAACATTAACCGAAATAGATAATTAGATAATTTTAGCTTAGCTTATACTTAAGACACAATAACACGCCGAATAAATACTAATTCAGAAGTTAAACAACAAAAATCAGCGTTATATTTTACAAATTTCACAAGGACTAGTGTCGATGGTTTTACCGAACCGTCATCTTCAGCTGCAAAACCGCAAATGAACAAGATAGGAAATAATGTTTAGATAAGATAAGAAGCCGGACAGAATAAGCAAGTGGCACCATCTGTTGGCGAAACCAGAACTAAAACATAATTTCTCTAAAAGCCGAAGGCAAATTTGGATTGGAATTAGGATCGTTAACTAGAACAGAAAGATTTTTATGGATGTGAAATGCCTCTAGAAAATCCAGTTCTCCAATGGAAGATGTTTTTTGAATAATTTTGGCAGCAGTAAAAATTGAAAGGAAGTGTGATTTCGGACCAACAATGTTGAGCAACAGAAGACTTCTGTGTTTCCTTTTTCTAACATATGCCTCATGTTCTTTGACGCGAAATTTTAAGGCTCTCTTAGTTTGGCCAATGTAAATTAAACCACACTGGCAAGGAATCCTATAAATACCCCAGGAATTCATATCCGGAATGGGGTCCTTGAGTATAGAAGTTGGAATTTTATTGATGGGAGAGTAAACAACCCGAAAGTTAAATTTCTGCAAAATATGTGCAACTTTATAACTAATTGATGGAAAGAAGGGAATGACAACAGAATTTTTATAATCTCCTAAAATAAAGAGTGTGGCTTTTAGTGTGTTGAGATGAGAATTTTTTAACTGCTTGATTAATAATGTTGGGTGAAAAGCCCCCTGTCAATAGCTATTGCTTTTAAATAATTTAGTTCTTCATCAAGGGCTAGTTTGGAGGAGCAAACTTGAAGAGCACGGAAAACATAGGAATAAAATGAAGCTAACTTTTGTTTAGTCGGATGACATGATTTAAAGTGTGGTGGAAGGCAAACCGATGAAGGTTTACGGTAAACTGTAGTACTGAAGTTGGATGTGTTACGTGTGACCAGAATGTCGAGAAACGGAAGAGAATTGCAAGTCTCAAGTTCAAAAGTGAACTGAATAGCAGGATCAATAGAATTCATTGTTGAAAGAACTCTATTTAAATCATCTTTATTACCTTCAAACAGGGTAAAAGTATCGTCTACGTAGCGGAACCATGCCGGGAAGTTTAAAGTTTCAAATAATTTGATTCATAATAATGCATGTAGATATCTACATGCATTATTATGAATCAAAATTATTTCTTGCCATACATTTCTAAGCAGTATCAAGACATCTCATAGATTTAAACTGAACTCATCCTTTTGATCTAAGCAGTAAATGGCTGCAGGAATTAGGTCTCTTTGATAACAGGAATCAAGCAACATATTATTCCTTAATCACAGGGTTGTAATTGAGATGCAGTTTTTAGAGGAAGAAACTCCTCTAAACTCTTCTGTTATATGTTTCTTTAATTCTGGAACTGGGCATTGTAGGCTACAGTTATCCACAATTAGGCATACTTTACTGCCTCATTGCTAGAATTTCTCACCAGTTGTTTTCCCCATTTGTTAGTTCCTGGAGTAATCCACATCTTTTTCTTGAAGTCATAATTCATAGCTAATATCTTTACAGATTTAAATCACATAGGCCAGCAAATCTCAACTGGTGGTACACAAGAGAAAAATAGGTGGTATGCAAAGAAACAAAGTATTTTTAATTATTAAATTCAAAAATTAAATACCCAACATCCTTTTCAAGTTTTTTCTCTAACACTTGTACATGCAATCTGAGTTTTGTTCAAGCTCAAGAGCTGCTTATAGACTTTAGCAAAATAATCCGTTTTTATGCATCTGTATATTCTTTGAGCCATAGACATAAGAAAATTTGGGTACTTTTCCATTTCGCCGGCGCAAATGTCGCCAAGGAGACTTTATTGGCGACAACAAACAGTATACACATAAAAAATGTTAGCAAATGTTAGTTCTAATAATTTTTTATTTTGAAGGCATAAATATTTTAAATATCCTTTAAAATTTTCTAAAAAGCCAATAAA